GGGGGGGGGGGGAGCCATAAAACAAGGAAAGCGTTGCCCCGTGAGCGGAGCCGGGCCGCCCCGACAGCACCTCCCGGCGCCCGCAGCGGAGCCTCAACGCGCCGTTTAAACGGCAGCACCAAAACACCGAGTTAAAAGAATTAAAGCCAAATATTGCTTTCACGGACGGCTAGTTGACAGCTGCTCAAAGCCAAGGGTTTTGGGGGGGGTGTGGCACAGAGGAGTTTGCTAAATGCCCAGCCCAGGCAGGACAGCCCGGAAAAACCCCCCATAGCTTGTGTGCGAAGTATTATTAACAGCAGTGAGCTGCTTGTGCTCCTGTAGCTCCCGAGAGCCGGGCTGCCCCGGGTGACGTTTGGGGCCAGGAGCACGCTACGCCCCACACAAGGGAGGGAAGGAGAAGCCCATTTGCTCTTTGACCTCCTGCTACCGAGCGCAACCATCGCTATCAGGGAAACCTCTGGCCTCCCGCGCCGCACGCACCCACTCCTACCGAAAACCAGCCTTAGGGAGTTGGCATACACCGCATCAGCGGCCAGCTCTTTGCCTTTTATTGCCCTACACACCCAGCTCTGCCTCAAGCCACGTGCTGACCTACAAATAACCCGCAGAATCAGGCAGCTCCCCAAAGAGCTGCTTTACAGCCCATCCCAGAGAGCGTTTCCCAAGTCCCAGCTTCCTCTTTTCCCTGCCCGTGTTGACCAGCGCAGAGCTCGCTCACCCCTACTGCATGAGAAACTACTTCTCTGAACAAGCACACGCCACAACGCCGAGTGCAGGAACAATGCCAGCGGCGTCTTATGACAGTATCACACAGGGTATGTTCCCAAATTCATGCTAATTTTAACCGTGAGCTAGCCAGGACAGGGTAGAAGCTCTTCAGTACGTCCCCTACCAATAAACTTCTCCACAAATTCCCAATTTTCAAACCGAGCAGGCACCGGGAGCGCCCAAATTTCTCAAATTCTCCAGTTAAATTGAGAGAGCATCTCTCCAGCCAGGACCGCTCAACGTGGCCGAGAAGGCAAATCTCAGGTGCAGCAGGACCAAGAATTCCCTCCTCTCCCACCACGACGCGGTTCTGCTGCAAAGCAGCTCACCAAAGCTCACCAAAACCAGGCCAGGCGAGCCTGCAACGTGGGCACCAGCAGGCACAATGCAGCACCGGGTGGGGGTCTTCATTCTCACCTGCACACACTTCACATTGATCCCGGGGCACACAAACTTTCTCCAGATGAGGTTGGCTTTGCTGTCGCCGCAGGTGATGGGGTAGACAATCTCTGCCTCCAAACTGTCCTCATCTTCAGCCATCTTCACTTCTCACAGGGAACAGAGGAGGGGACACAGCAAACAGAAACGTGAGCCGTGGCCTCCCAGTTCACCACCCGGATGCACACACAGAGATAAAGCCGCGTTGAAGCTCAGGACCGGAAGAAACCCCACGTGGACGATGCACGATGGGGTGTGACGGAGTTTGTGGCCACCGTTCTCTTGCACGAAAGCATCCAACCACCTAAATTTCTCAGGCAAATTTACACCGCCCTGGCCACAGCTGAGTGTGCAAAATCTGAGACTTCAGTGACAAGAGCTGAAAAAAAATCTGTTCTTGATAAAAATGAAAGGAATGAGGTTGTTTGGGTAATTTTACATTCATGTCTGGGGGAACTGTTTTTAAGGCACCTCCAGCCCAGCTGGCTACAGTCTTCCCTCACTAAATTCCCTGTTCCCTGTAACCAAAGCCTGCGAGTTCGCTGCAAAACCAACAATCCCCATCGCAAGCCGGAAGGGCAGGAGCTGGCGGTGGCCAGACACAGGGTCTCATCCTGCTGCACCAGGAGAGGGCAGCAGCATCCCAGCCAGCAGCCACCAGCTCCCTTCCCCACGGCTCCTGCAGCTCGCCCAGCTCCTTGGATGCCTGGGAGAGCATCCCGGGTACCCCCGGGGAGAGCATCCCGGGTACCCCCGGGGAGAGCATCCATGCCCAGCAGCTCTGCACAGCGGTGGCCGGGCCCTCTTGGCCAACACCAGCGCCGGATTGTGCCGCGTTAGGGTGGTGGCACGGTACAACTGGGGAGGCCAAAACATGGGCTGAACCTACCTAGAACAGCTTCCTTCAGGTGCGTGGAGGCTGTAAAGGCGGCGGCGGCTGCAGCAGCTGCATTTTCGGTCTCCAGCGTGTCTTCATTTATGTCACCGCTGGTAAGAGTCAGAGAGGCAGAGTTAATCCACACGAACATGCCACCCCCACACCCGACGCCCCACGGAGACACAGCTTCCCAAGGCACTCAGACCGTTTTCCCACAAGAGCTGGAAGTCAGCTCTGGTTTTGAAAGGCTCAGCTCCATTTTTCCATAGAGAGGAAGAGCCCCGCAGCAGGCAGGATCGCTGCCAGCAGCCCGCCCGGCTCTGCCTCGCCTCCCCCTTCAAATCCCAGCCCCATGGAGCTGCCTCCAGCGCAGCCCGTGCTGGGGAGCTGGCACTGAGCGATGCTGTCAGCACGGTCCCTCGCTCAGAAGTTGCTGCCAGCCTCTGGCAGCTTTGCCTGAGAAGATTTCCCCAGGAAAAACATGTGCAGAACATGCTGCCACTGCCTGGGCGATGGAGTGGCTGAACCCCCTGGAACACGGGATGCTCCCAGGAGCAGGACTTCAAGGAGCTGCAAACACACTATAAGGGAGATCGACAAACCGAAACAGCGGATCTGTGAGCAGAGATAACGCAGCATCACCAATCTCTGAGCCTCTTACGACTCAATAAACCCGTAACGTTAACTACCAGCTGGCTGTCCCGCTGACGGCGAGCAACACTTCCATCTTCCCCACCCCGGAGATTTCCAGCTTCTCCTGGTGCTTTGCCGATGGAGACACACAACAGGTTCTCCCGCCGCGGCACACAACGCCCCAAACCCCTTTAACGAGCTTTGTGCACGCTCAGACGGGAAAGGCTTTTAGGGCTGCGAGCCGGGACATGCTCCTCGCCCCCTCGGCTGGGAGGGTCCCACGTGAAGGAGGAAGCCGGTGCTGGTACCCTTATGGATCTGCCCTGGGCACGTGGCCAGCTCTCAGCACAGAGTGTGCTGGACCTCATTGATGGTTTTAGGATGTGCATTTGATTTGTTATTGAGGATTACTGCAGCAAGCCTGTCCTGCAGGGGTGGGGAAGCAGCTAACCTCTAGCATACTTCAACACAGAAACCTGCTAAGACTGTAAGGACAAAATAAACCTGACATCCACCCCGGTTCCGTACCACGGGTGAACCAAACAAGTGGTCCCAGTGACTCACCGGCACTCACATTTCCCACCAGCGATGCCACAGGGACGAGCAAATTCAAGAGCAACTGGTTTTTCCATCCTGGCCTCCTAACACACAGCTCCGGGGTGGAACTGGAGCTTCAAAGCATCGCTCCCCCCGCCGGCTGCAGGGCAGGTACCTGGTGGGGAGCAGCAACCAGGTAAGGGAACCGGCGTGGGTGGCAGCCCAGCCTCGCTGGGTGAGGAACAGCTTGCTCCAGGACTCCGTCACATTCGCACCGCTCCAAAAAGTGACTGAAAGGCACAGCTGGATTGGGAAAAATAACCCAGCCCCCACCTTACACCCATCCTCCAGGGAGAAAACAAACAAACCAACAGCTTGCATGAAAAATTCATGCAGCTACAGCCTGTGTCTGCCATGGAGAGGTGGAGGGTGGAGGGAAAGGGGGAAAAAACCCACAAAACAGGTGAGTTTCTCCATACTGCTTCCCCCACCCCATTCCAGAGGGACTGACTGAACCAGATGCAGGAGAGAACTCAAACACCTCCCAGGGCCCAGCAGCGCATCCCACCAAGCCGATCCTGCCTTCGCCGGTTGCCATGACAAAACCGGGGGAGGACGGCTCTCATCTTCCTCCCTGGGAGAATCCATAAACCAGATGGGAGGGAGGGAAGCAAAGTGCGTGCTGATAAAGCAGCGGGCTGGTGCCTCCTTGCTCCTCCACTCCTGCCTCGCCTGGAAACTTGAGAGGGCAAGTCTCCACCAGAATTCCAGGGAAAGGATGCTGATTGGGAACACAGATGCTGATTGGGAACCGCATCAGAGCGTCGGGTACAGACTGCAGCGCCGACAGAAGAGAAAAGCCTCTTGCTTTTCTTTTCCCATTGTCCTCTGCCTTTTCCAGTCAATCCTAAAAACACATGAACCAACTAAGCTCTGAGCACTGGCTGCATTATATTTTTTTTCAATAGCAAAAGGAGCACTAGAAAAAGGCATCAGCCCCCAAGCTGAGTTTGGCTTCCAAGCGCCACATGACGAGTTCAAAGCCGGCTTCCCGCGCAGCAGTGACCGAGCCAAAGCTGAGCAATCCCAGCCCGTGCTCGCAGCCGCTGGGGCTGCAAGGGGAAAACAGAGGGAGAGGGAGCCAGTGCCGCTCCGGCATCTTCCCAGGAGGAGCGGAGCCCCACGGAGGCAACCCTCCAAGGCTACAGAGAGACCGTGGGTGGCTCGTGCTGCCACCCACCAGCAGCCCCGCTCCCTGCTCAGCGAGGGGTCCCAGCAGAAATCAGGTGGGTTTTGTTCAGTGAGCCCCAAGATCCTTCCCATCAATCCGCTGCTGGCCCAGAGCAGGGAGGAGCGAGGAGCCTGCCCACTGGCCCTTACCCAGAGGGCTGCATGGAAAACCCCCACGGAATCTCTCACTGCCTGCTCAGATATGCTCCGCTCGTAGCTGCGAGTAAATAGGAATCCTCCCCCCTCCGCTGCGTAGAGCTGTCCCACTCCTGACCAGCCAGGGGACACTGGGAAGATGAGAAAAGGTTTCCAAACAGAAATACAAGAGGAAATAAAAGGAAACTAAATGGATTGAGCCGGCCTGTGCCATGATCCATGTCCCAGATGACACTGCACGTGGGTCTGCAAAGGCTCAGAGACACTAAAACCAGAAACCAATCGGCATCCAAGAGCCACATCCCAAGTTTTACATCTGCCTGCTTCTCCACCACGGGAGCTAGGACTGCTCTAGCTCCACGGGCCGTAAAGCAAGAGGAGCAGAGCCTTTCTTCCCTGCCATCATTCCTCTTGGGAATGGAAAAGGTGCTTGGAAGTGCTTACAGACCTGGGATGCAGAGGAGGAGGCAGAGCATCTCCCAGCGTGGTGGCCCCGCTGTCTGTCCCTGCTCAAAGTTCATCTGTTCACGAGTTTTTATACCAGTTACAGCGGAATGAGGGAAACGGTGCCCGCACAGTAACGTGAAAGCCGTGCCCTGCCCTGAGCCATAGGGAACCGGCACAGAAACAGCAGGATGTGTTTGAGGAAAGGAGACAAATTGGTTTGGTGGAAAGCAATAAACTTGCTACCCGCTTACTTCAAGGGCAGTGATTTCTGGATCGGACAAACCTGCCCAGATCCAGCTCTGGATGTGAACCTGGATGTTCTGCCCACTGATAAAGCACTAAAATCCCTGGGATTGGGGTACCATCCTGAGAAGGAATGGAGAGAAATAAAGCAAGGAGCCCGTGGCTACATGGGCAGTGAAGGTACCAGCCAGGCACCTTGGCCACGGAAGCGAAGAGCTGAGCACAGGGCAGCTGGACCAGACCAGACCAGACCTGGGCAAACAGCAGCCCTGGATCCGAAATGCCAACAGAAAGGAGAAATTGGGCAAAGAAATAGCACTTTAAAACCCATACACATTCACTGGGGGGGGTGTTTTTGAGGTGCGCCACCCCATCCGACACTCTATCCCACGCCGTACGGCTTCTACGCCCCCTCTGCCATCTCTATCACCAGCTGCAGTTCCTACG